TCTTCTTGCGACCAAAGATTTGAATAAAAGTTCAAAAAATAAGATAGCTTAAAAAATAATATACGGTAGTGTTTACTAATAGATGAATAGTATATAAATTCTATTAAAATGGATTTGATCCAAAAAATATATAAAATTTGATCATAAATAAAATCGTTTTAAATTACTTCTTCATTTAAATTATAACAATTGTTTTTGATTTTTATTTATCATCCACATTCAAATTTGAATCTTATCACAAAAGAAGGACCACTTTTATGACTACTGCCAAATCTATAAACAGAGAATGGCTATTTGAAGCTAAAAGAAGAATAGAAGAAGGTGAATCTTACAAAAGTGTGGGAAAGGAAGTTGAATTGGAAAATGGTAAAATTAAATTGAATGTTGCCGAAAATACAATAAGAAGAGCATTTCAACTTCAAGAAATCGAATTACCAAAAGTTAGTCGCGGCAGAAAACCAAATCCACCAACATTTGAGCAAAAACAATTAATTAATTCTTGTGTTTCACAATATAAAGGAGGAATTTCAAAAACTTATTTATTGATTAAAAGGTTTCAAAATATTGCTCAAAATCCCGATTGTGAGAAAGAAAAAGAAGAAATTGCAAAAGAATTTGAAAATATAGAAGATTTGACAAAAGATCAAATTTTTGACAATTTACAAAAAATAAAGCATCATCAAGTGGAAAAATTTATGATGGAATCAGGTTTATCTTCAAAAAGAGATTACAAACCAGCAGATCCACCTACCAAATATCGTGCCATATCAAAGAATTTGATATGGCACTGCGATATTCATTACCTTCACGGTAATGTTTCTTTTCCATTTTTTGCCATATTGGATGATATGACACGTAAAGTTCTCAAAACTAAATTATTGAAAAACAAGTCTTCCAACTCAACAGCGAAGGTTTTAAGAAACTTTTAGAGGAGTTTATTCCTTACTGCATCTGGACCGATAACGGCGGTGAAAACCGCGGTGAATTCGCCAGGTTATGCAGGAAAACAGAATAGTTTGGAAGCACACCTTGCCGTATATGCCAAGACAGAACGGCAAGGTGGAAGCGCCTGTGGCCAAGCTTAGAAAAGTTTTTGCCAGACGAGTTGGATGATATTCAACAAATCAAGGACTCAGTTCAGCAGTTCATTAAAAATAACAACAAACACCACATTTATCTCTCGATATTAATCCAAAAACGAATAGTAATTACACTCCTAACGAATTATTCGAAGTTTCAAAATTTTGGTACGAGCCAGAAATGCAAAAATGGGAGTTATATATCAAAGACGAATGGGTCTTAGCAAAATTTGAATAATTACATCATTTTAAATTAGGGTTGTACAAACTGGCACAATTTTGCGGGCCGCCTGCCAGGAGCTGGCACGCGGCCAAAATCAAAAAAGTGGCCAAAAATCGGGCCTCGTGGCGTGGAAAGGATGTCGCCCTTCGGGCTCCACCCTTTCCACGCCACTCGGCCTATGACCATAATTATATAATATGCTCATTATATTTTTTCTTCTTTTCTCTTTTTTTTCTTTTTCTCTTTTCTTTCTTCTTTTTCCCCTTTCCCTTCCTTTTTTTCTAGTTTTGGAAAGGAAAAAGTAAAAAATTTAATAATTAATTTTATTACTATGAAAATATACTTTTTAGCTTATATTGTTGTTGCATGCTAAGTTCGGTCAACGATAGAAATTGAGTGGAAATTAATCGTCGAGGAAGTACGATTATGTAAAGTAAAAAAATGTTGTGGGATTTTTAATATTATATATTATTTTATAATAAAATTTTTTTGAGTCATTTTAAGAAGCACATATAATTTTTTGAATTTAAAAATTAAAGTAGTGTCAAACGAATTTATCACTTAATTTAATACTCCAGATTTCTTAAAATTAATGAAAAAAGGTTTTCTGAGAACTTTTTGAGAATGGTTTTCAATTCCATTATTGAAAATATATAGGTATTGTATGAAATTCCAACTCTATATTTATTAAAATTCTAAATTTTAATAAAATAACTTTCAGAGGAATATGTTTGAATGGTTGATATAATAAGAATAAAAATGTCTATGATTTTAAGGGAGGGAATTGTTCCTTATGAGGTATACATATAAACTATATACCTCATAAGGAACAATTCCCTCTTGAAAGCTGGGAAACTTTCTCTGAATAACTTATCATTGGAAGAAAGTTTCCCAGCTATCTATTAGAAACTAAAGGCTGTGAAGCACTAATATATAATCAGTGCCTCATAGCCTTTAGTTTGTTAATTAAAAACGAGAAAACTTTGTTCGAAATGATAACAATTTCGAACAAGTTTTCTCGTTTTAAGGAGGGAATTGTTCCTTTGAGGTATACATCATAACTATATACCTCATAAGGAACAATTCCCGCTTGATATCCTGGATATTTTTGAATATATTTTTTTAATTAAAGTTCTCAAAAGTATTATCAAAAGTGATTTTTAAAAATTCTCAATTAATTAACTAATTAAAAGTATTATATTTTTAAAATTAAATAGTTTTTCAATTTTTTTGAAGGAATTGAGATACTTCCCACGACAATAAAATTGAGAGGTTTACATTATGACTGATCTTAGCATGCAACATTGTAAGCTGTGAGAGTTTTAAGTGATGGAAGATATAAATCAAATTTGAAATTCAACAAATCTTGTTATGATTAAGTTGAATATTGTACTCTAATTAAGAGTTTTCAGTTATGAACTCAGGTATTATATAATAAAAGTATAACTCAAGATAATAAAGAGGTTTTTAAAATGTAGATCTGAAAATCAAACTACCATGTTTGATATGATTAAGTTGAATAATGTTATTTTATTAAATGGTTCAAATCTGTGAAATCGGCAATTACAAATTAAAGGCGTAGTTCAAAAAATTAAAGAGATTTTAAAAATTTAATATCAGAATTAAACTAAAAAAGGATTTAGTTATTTCAGTAATTATCAGAAAAGGTTAAAAAGATAGGGTAAGTAATGAGACTTGAGTGAGATGTGAGAAATCATATGTAAATAATTAGATATCTGATGAGTAAGGTAGTAATGAGAGTTAAGATCTGGTTAGTAAGGTAGTAATGAGAGTTAAGATCTGGTTAGTAAGGTAGTAATGAGAGTTAAGATCTGGTTAGTAAGGTAGTAATGAGAGTTAAGATCTGATGAGTAAGGTAGTAATGAGAGTTAAGATCTGGTTAGTAAGGTCGGAGAGTTAAGATCTGGTTAGTAAGGTAGTAATGAGAGTTAAGATCTGGTTAGTAAGGTAGTAATGAGAGTTAAGATCTGATGAGTAAGGTAGTAATGAGAGTTAAGATCTGATGAGTAAGGTAGTAATGAGAGTTAAGATCTGGTTAGTAAGGTAGTAATGAGAGTTAAGATTTGGTTAGTAAGGTAGTAATGAGAGTTAAGATCTGGTTAGTAAGTTCGGAGAGTTAAGATCTGGTTAGTAAGGTAGTAATGAGAGATCTGCGGGCAGTAATGATACATCTATGAGTACATAACTAAAACCTGAGTTCTATGAGCGAAATCTGAGAGCTAAAAGCCGAGAGATCTAAGGTAAGTAATGAGAGAAGAGAATTTGAAATTTTACAAAATACGTTTACTCATACAAAATAATTCGCATTCTTTTATAACGAATCTCAATGCCAATTAATACATAAAACAGATTTTAGCAATCAATTGCAAGATTTAGAAAGATTTTATTTATAATCTCAGCCAAATGAACAAATATTTGATTGATTTCGTAAAAAATAGCAATAAAACATAAAAATATGACATTCTATTTTTCCAAAAAAATTTCAAAAATCATTTTTTAACATGAAATTTATATTTTTTAATTTTTTTTTAAATTTTGAATTTTTTTTTGGAATTTTCAACCATGTCAAAAGTCGGGATCTACAAATGTATTCTCTTTGACATAGGATAAAAACATCCTTTCTTATAATTTCATTGTAAAATAAAATTTTCTTAAATTTATTGAATCCAAACTCAACTTTGCAACATTTTATTATCATAAAAACTAAGAAACATCAGGTAAACTTCAATTTGGAGAGCTTAAAATCATATCTAAATTGAAAAATAAGGGGAAAAAAATTGTAAAAAAAATCTCATTAGATGGGGCAAAAAGTGACTTTTTTAATGTGTTTTTTAAAAAAATCGTGCCAGCTGGCCAAAAAGGGTGTGCCAGCAGGCGTGCCAGTTTGTACAACCCTATTTTAAATGACTACTAAACGATTTTATTTATGATCAAATTTTATATATTTTTTGGATCAAATCCATTTTAATAGAATTTATATACTATTCATCTATTAGTAAACACTACCGTATATTATTTTTTAAGCTATCTTATTTTTTGAACTTTTATTCAAATCTTTGGTCGCAAGAAGAATTGCATGATAAATAAAAACATTTAATCAAAGTCAATTTTATTTTTCATATTCAAATGGACTGAGTGTTAACATTTAACATTTTTTGCTAATTGTCGTCAAAAATTAGGCGTAAAGCAAAAATTGATATTTCATATGGTTTTATGATAGATAAGCATTATATTCCCACTCATTATATTCGTAAATTTTGAGGTTTATCCTTCGCTTTTAAGATCATTGAATTTGATTTTTATATAAAATAGTTATATATTAGAAAATAATATGAGTTTATGTGATATTATTTTTCAGAAGATTTTGTGTTCTTCTTCAAAATTTTATTTTTTTATTAAAAAGAATCTTTACAAAATATACATTTACTTTAATTAATATTTAAAAACGTGCTCTATCAAAAGTTCCAAAAATTCAATATTTTAGCTTTTCTGAGGTGTCACTTTTGATGAATTTCTGTTTACAACAATTTTCATATTTCACAGAGAAACTTGTCAGACGATAAAAATTTTTTACACACAAAATTTTTCTTGGTGAAAAAGACCATCTTCTTATAACAAATCATTATTTACAGCTTACAAATAAAAAACAAAATATATAAATAAATAGAAATTATGAATTAATTTTCAATTTCAACATCCTTACCTCTGACATACAATGATAATAATTGATATCCGATTGCTCCTCCTCTTGGGATCACATAACACCAATTTTCATCGATCACAACATATTCGCCTTGTAAATCAAGTCTCTTATAAAATTTAAAAGAGGCATGACCATCTCTTCCGAGTGTAAGTGAAACAATGGCAAATCTGATAAATATGATATGTGAATGTTCATGAAGCAGTTCAATTTGGTCTGGCTGAGCTTCTTGAGATTCGCGGTCATTTGCAATGAAGAGGTATCTATTCACATGAGTAATCTTCTTATTCTCGAAATATTCTTTGAAATTTCCATCTTCAGGAAGTTTTAACATGTTAACACATTGAGCTTGATTATTCTCATCAATGAATTGAATCCCGCATAAATGTGGGTTCATAAAAGATGAAATAATGAGTCGTGGATCGCCTTGTTGTTCAAAATGAAGCATATTATATGTTTTTCCTGGTGAAATCGAAGTAGATCTTCCCATACGTTCTAATATTTGTAGGATATGGAGAAGATCTTCTTGTTTGGAATCTTCTTCTCCAACCTGAAACAATTCTAAAGCTCTTGCACCATTATCTTCTTCGATTCGAATATTTTCAAGGATAATGATAGTCAAGAACAATTGCATGGCGGCATTTAAGGCGCTTCGAGAATCATCGAGCCTGATGATTTGTGAATTTACTCTCTCTGTGGCATAATGATTGTGACGTCTGATCTCGTTAAATATTTCTGAGTAATAAAGCTGATTGGTTAACAAAACACCAAATTGCGGAGCATATTCCACAGAGTCCATAAAAGATGCTCCGCTTCTTGATGCAAGGCAGTGTATCAATTGATCTGTGGGTTCAAAATGGACATCAACTATTGGAAGAGGCGAAAACACTTCAGCTGGAGAAGGAGGATTATAATTTGGTTCAGGTTCTACTGCGCTTTCAATTTCTGATGGATCTAGATCATATTCAAGGATTTCTCTTTCTTCTTCTGGAGTGAATCCTTCAAGATCTTCTTCATCATCACTTCCATCCCAGTCTTCATCATCTGAAACTATTTCTTCAATCTGGGTATTTTCCTGTCTCCTATGGCGTCGTTCATTGATCTCACTGAACTCTTGAAGGAGGTCAAAATCAGGGGCGTCTTCCTCTTCTGCGTTTTGGCCAAGAAGCTCGCCTACTGTGAATTGAGCCTTCACTTCGTCAATCCGTTCAATGAAGTCTGAGGCCTCTTCGTCAGAGATACGTGGTTGGATGCTTTCATTTTCTTCAAGATCTTTGATGTGCATACTGAATGCAGTCTCAATGAGCTCAGGAGTCAGCGCATTCCAGCAACGTATTAAAATATACACTGCCAACTTCAGCGTGCACTCGAGGGAAGTGTCGATAGAATAGTAAGTCCACCATGTTCTCGTTGCCATATTCTTTAAGGCGCCAAAGACATGCATGTCAAGAGGTTGGCACAGATCGGTGCATCCAACTGGAATGAAGACGAGTGTGATGTTCAAGTCTTTAGCAAGCTTCTTTGTTTCTGCATTTCTGTGGCTAGAATATGTATCAAGAAACAAGTAGATTCTATCATTTTGAATGTAACTTGGATTCTCGCGATAACGATCGTTGTAATACTTTCTAAGCCATCTGAGATATTCTTGAAATACCTCCTTTGTGGCCCAACCTGTTTCGGAATGCAAAATCAACTCATTGGAAAAGACTCTGTTGTCGTAAATCTGCTTATGGCATGCATCTGTGAGACCCTTGCAGACAAATGTGAGTGGAAGTTTACTGCCGTCTGCCTGGATTGTGGCAATAATAGTGATTCCTTTCTTCTCGTTATGATTCATGTGGACGTCAACACCTTCCGAGCCTTTTATTGCATATGTCAGTCCATGAGCGATTCCACATCCGTAAAAGGATTCATCTGCGTTGCAGATTCTCCACAATTCATCCTTGAAGAGTTCCATAAGTTGAGCTTTGGTCTGTTTAAAGCTTTTGATACGAGTCTTCATCTCTTCGATGTCTTTTGGCCGACGATGCCAATGTGCTTCACGAGTGGTCAGGTCGCATCTCTCTCGGAAATTCGAAAGGTAATGGTCAGAAACAACAAAATCGTTTCTGAGAATCTCGTTAGGGTAAGCCTTTATGAACATCTTGACAAGCACTCTGCACATTTGGGTGTTAAAGAAAAATTTTTTTCGATGAATTCTTTGATGATGTAATTGGCTAACAATTCTTCACCGTGATCACTGATAGCACGATTGATCAAAGATGCAGCCGTCTTTGGGTTAAATTCTGGGTCAAGTTCGTATTTTTTACGGTAATTATATAAGGTGGCAGGACAAACGTTTGTACTCTTGGCGAGAATTTCTATGAGACCTTTGTTAGCTGGATCCAAGCTGTCTTCAATGAGGCTCATTAGGAGAGATATAGGGTGTCCAAAGGTGTGTTTAGCACAAACCTGAATACTGCGAATAGAAATAAACAAGTTACATATATATAAAGTTTATTTAAATATAATCACCATTGGATTCAATCACGCGTTCGCAGCGATCGATCCAGGCTTGAAAGACATGCTTTAAATCATCATGAGAAAATTGCTCAAATTGCTCTCTTACAAAATTTTCAAGATCATCTGGACTCGCGAATTCGCGTCCTTCAGCTCTCTTTTTTAGCGTGCCGAATAAATAAAAGTCAGAGGGTGCAATATCAGGTGAATAAATTGGGTTTGGAACAACTTTGACATTGTTTTCCACCAAGTAATTCATTACCTTATGACTTTTGTGAACTCTTGAATTATCTAAATGAATTGCAAACTTTTGTTTTTGTTGTTTGGATTTCTCAAACTCATCAGAATTGATAATTTGAGTAAGAACATTGTCAATTAGATACTGAAGCTCATTAGGAGAGATACTTGAGTGTCTGACAAATTTGCTGCATTTAACTTTTGCCTTGGAACAAGTTTGCCTAGTTGCAGGAGTTTCTCTGCAATGTGTTGCGGAATGGATTCCAGATTGGGTATATCTGGTTCTTCATCCATTTTTTTTGTTGGGCCATGAGTTCGAGGTTTGTTAGGTACCAATTTTCAAAAACGATATGAGAGGAATATATCGTTTTGAGTTTTTTTTTTAAAAAAATATAAGTAAAGGGGTTTGTATTGTTATCAATCTAAGGATGATGCTAACTTCTAGGTTTTGTATGACTGGCTTATGATTTGACTAAAGAATCTCTTGAAAATCTGACAATGCGTGGAATCTGGAGAAATGCAGCAGTTTGTATTGTTATCAATCTAAGGATGATGCTAACTTCTAGGTTTTGTATGACTGGCTTATGATTTGACTAAAGAATCTCTTGAAAATCTGACAATGCGTGGAATCTGGAGAAATGCAGCAGTTTGTATTGTTATCAATCTAAGGATGATGCTAACTTCTAGGTTTTGTATGACTGGCTTATGATTTGACTAAAGAATCTCTTGAAAATCTGACAATGCGTGGAATCTGGAGAAATGCAGCAGTTTGTATTGTTATCAATCTAACTAGCCTTGTACTGCCATTTTATGGTCATGTAAAGTATTCAAAAATTTGCAATGTAAACCATTACATGGCAGAAACTTTAAAATAAACAAAAACATGACACTTAGTACAGGGGCTTTTTGGCTGGTGAAGTCAGATAAAACGTGGCTCAAGTGCTCGTTTAAAATTAAAAATGGAATTTCTCACAGTCGAATTTCTTGGTAGACAACAAAAGTTTATCATCAATTGTCGCGCCGAAGGTATGACATATAGTCAAACTAAGCTTGCATGGGAGGCAGAATACCCAGATCTCGGAACTTTAACATCCAATCTCATTGCTACTGCACTTAAAAGAGCTGCATTTGGTCTATACTGGGAAAAAGGGAATCATGGTGGTGCAGATCCATACCTATGCGAGCGTGATCAGCTCACTTTAAAAGAAATTATCGAAGATTCTGCTTACAAAGGTGAAGCTCTAGAAGCAGCTGACATTATTGACGAGGCGTTCAAGTTGAAAGAGCTCAGAAGAGATTATGGTTACAGATTCCTTCTTGAGATTAATTGTCCTACTCTTGCAGAAGAAGTTATCAATACTCTTGGTGGTGATGATGTATCGAGACCTTATGTTAACCATATTTTACAGCAATTGCATTGCAAGCTTAAGGCATGCCAAGAGATTGAAGAATCAAGATACATGGCGTGTGAACCAAGAATTATCGAAGAATTCTACGATAAACATCGTGAAACAATCGAAAGTACTCCAGAGGAGTTGATTTTTAGTATCGATGAAACATTCATAAACAAATTTAAGAAGAAGAAAGTTGCATTACCTGAGGAGATAGAGCATATGATCGCCAAAGGAATTCCAAACTTTCCGCACATTACAGCTTTATGCGGATGCTCAATGACAGGCAAATCTGTCCCACCTCTCTTTGTTCTCCCATGTATTGCAGAACTACCTAGAGAACTGAAAGTATTCCAGCGCGAAAGACATTGTTGGTTTACTTCTACGCCAAAAGGCTGGGTGAACAGAAGTGTATTCTTATTGTATTGCATTTTCTTCATCGAGTGGCTTAACTTTGAACGCCAGAGAATGCCAGAAGATATACGTGACAAGCCTGCTCTCATTGTGTGTGATGGACACTCCAGCCGCGAGAATCCTCTGGCATTGTTCCTTTTGGCAAGTGCCAACATCAAATTAATTGTTCTTCCCGCACATACAACACACATTTTACAAGTATTTGATGTTGGCATTGCCAAAAGATTAAAGTCCAAATTCACGGATTATCTGAGAGATTACATTAAGGCACCGAAGCAAGAGTTCAACAGCAATGCTGCAATGATGCGCTACGCCATTATCTACTCATTTATTAGCGCATGGCAAGAATCAGTATCATTAAGAACGGTTCAAAATGCTGCTGCCGCCTGCAGTCTTTGCCCTTGTTCTGTAGAAGCTCTCAAACATAATAAGTATGTTCGTGAATTGACTCCTGCAGAAAAAGAATTGCAAGAGAAAAGAAATTACCGTAATCGAAATCGTTTTAACATCAATGGTGAAGAATTGACGACGATGGACATGATTTGCGCAATTTCTGACAATATTAAGAAGAATCCTGCAAATCACAGATTTTGCAGGAAGCCAGAACAAGACACCAAGGAACGTTTCTACTTTTGGATTACAAACTATCTTGATCCCAGCACTGAGTTGTTGACAAAACTCCCTAATATGACAGGTTATAGTCCAAATGATTAGGAAAAAGTTAGTATACATATCATGTGTACGGAGGCACTGCGCGCCTCCTTACCCATTATATGTGAATTTGACACTTTACAAAACCGTTAACGTATATTTTACAACACAAACGACAACACCAACTTAACCTTAAATATTTACAAAGCCGTCAACCACTTCACCTCACTAGTGTAAAAAATAAACGTTCTCACTTACAAAAGTATTGCAACTCTTCCCATTGCTGTGCTTCACACAATAGTTCATATTCTTCAGTATCGCTGCTGTCGCTCCAATCGTCAGAGTCAAAATCACTGTCAAAATAAATGTTAGTAAGTTTTGACAAAGCTAATGAAACACGCTTACCGTTTGTATCGTATGCTTGTATAAACTTTCCATTCTTCATTCCTTCATAAACGCTCAAACTAACTTTACCCTTTCTCCCTCGTATCTGATAGAATGTATTTTCACGAGGAACGAAGAACAAATTCTTGAACTCATGACCGTTGTAGTTTGTTATCTCAATAGTTTTCGTCATTTATATAAAAATAAAATAAAAAATAATTTTTAAAAAATAAACTTAAAAATCAATGATATCACCACCCTCACACGTATGAAAACATAGCACAAAAATAAATTTAGGGTAGATGGTTAGATCTAACCCGATTTCTAACCTCATTTCTACCCTGTTGAATTCATTGCTTTATAACTCTCTTCCTTGGTTTCTTTTTAGTTGCTTTCTTAACATCTGTCTCCAACTTGACTGTCTTTCTTCTTCGTCCGTAATGATACCAATTACTTCCACCAGTCAATGGGTCAAATGGTCGTTCATAAGGGTTTCCATACATTCCATAAGGTCCGTATGGATAAACCGCTGGTGGAGAAGAAACATTTTCTTTAGTTCCATCGACTCTATTTAAATGCATTGTTTCACCTTTCATCTGGTCATTAAAGTCTTTTGCGTGTTTTGCAAACTCATCGTCCTTTCCTAAAGCATTTTCTGACTCAGTCGCAACCAAATTGGATGCTTTATTTATGAGCCCTATTTTATTTAATCTTAACTTCTTTGCAACCCAGCCTCCAATCTTTCCTTTATTTGCATCTAATGTCTTTGAAACCCTTCCTCCACTCATTTTATTTACTGCGTCATAAGCTCCAAGTGCTTTTGCTCCAAATGCTAATGCTTTTGTTCCCATTGCGCCTAAAGCTGCCCAAGCTACCATTTACACCATATTAAAATCATCTCTCTTCAATATTATCTCATAAAAGTTCTCGTTACTGGAGAAAGTCAATGAAACATAAACATTCTCACGGGCTTCGCCCTCACCGCTTTGCGGTCTATCTAACTTATTTCTTATATCATCTATACGCTTCAAAATGTCTGAACAATTGCTAACATCTTCTACAACAGTTATTTCATCATGAATGACCTTCAAGAACAAGCTCATTTAATATGCTATTAAAATCATCTCAATAATGAGTCCATCCTTTCCGTCTTTGGGTAGCACAACATCTTTCATTGAAGAAGGTTCGACAAGTCTTATGTTAAACTTACTGACAAAGTTTGTTATACTATAATGCTTCGGCGGCGAATACATGTAGTTTGAAAGACATAATATAGATTCTTCAGCAAATTCACTTATACTGGATTTTATAACAATGTTCTCACGAGACCAAATACCACCAATTGACAATCTTGTAAGCAATCCTGCTGAAGCTTCTACTGTAAACGTCGATGGTAACATTCCACGAAGGTCATCTATTGACATCTTTGAGTCACTGAATTTAAAGATTTTCTTAAAGCAATCGTCATTATCTAACCATGCAATAGCTTTGAAGTTTTCATTCGAATATACATCTGTTTCATTAAATGTAAAACCTGACTTCTTTGCAGAGACGACTTTAAAATCTATTGAGTTTGTTTCAAAATTATATGCTATGGTAACTTCTGAAGGTAATGGATGTCCTTCCGCAGTCAGTTGTTCTCTCACTACCGTTTGAAGCTTTGTGTTAAAAACTTTCATGTCATCTCCTGTGTCTAGGTTCACATACACAGCAACAGGAAAACTATCTTGCTTCTTTGTTTCATCATTATACCTCAAAACATTAAAGTTCTTCAATAATATTGTTCTTCCTGCTGGAATACTTCTAACTTGTCTTATTTCAATAGCTTTCTCACCTCCTATATACTCTACCCAGTGTCTTGGATATTCATAAGTATACTGACTTTCTTGAATTTTGGTAGGTTTCATCATAACGTGTTCATAGTATATCTTTATACTCTTGTCAGTTAGACTCGGTGCTATGTTCTGAATATTTCTGACTTGCATTTTTAATGGAGATAAAATGAAGCATTTAATACATGACGTAGATGAAGACATGAATGAAACTACAGACAAACTTAACTCTTCTCTTATTCTTCCTTTCAGCAAAGATTATGAATTCTGTTCAAATGGTGTGTATTTCTATTGTGGAAAGATGGGTTCAGGTAAGACATTTAACCTCATTCGTCATATACTCATAACAGAGCGTTTAGGAAACGACTCTTACTATGACCAAATCATTATATCAGCAACTTCAGACTCTATGGACTCAACAGCGAAAACATTTATGTCAAAAGTTCAAGCCTCTGTCGTTAAAGTTCCAGACAGTGAACTCATTGAATTTCTTCAACGTTACATTCGACGTAAGAGAAAATATTATGCCATCGTAGAGTTCATACAGTCAGGAATGCAAAAGACTTCTGAGGAGATGGAAAGAATTATTGACAAACACCACTTACGTCAGTACTCAGGAGTTTACGATATGAAACGACTGACAAACTACATTCTATCAAAACTTTCAAAATACCCCTTCAAAAAATATCCTTCAAACACTCTGCTCGTTTGCGACGACTTCGCCGGAAAAGGTTTAGTTTCAAAGCCTGACTCACCATTAGCTAACATCATAACTAAAGTCAGACATTACCATTTAACTGTAGCAATACTTATGCAAACATGGCGCTTTCTTGCTTTAAACATAAAACGTCTCATAACTGACTTCGTTATCTTTCAAGGTTTCTCACGCTATGATATTGAACTCATATGGAAACAGTCGGGTATAACATTACCTTTTGAAGAAATTTGGGAAGCATATAAGTCTCTCATCTCTCCTCGTTCATACCTTGAGATTCATATCATGACTAATACCATTAAAGTCAAAAATATTCCATGGGAACGACCAACATTGTTTTAAAGTTTAACCTTCAATTGACTGATGGTAAACAAATTCCATGCATCTCTGTCGCCATTTCTGTTAATATTTTTGCTGTCATTCATATCATCCACTTCCCCATCCGTTAGCTTTTGAGGATATGCGTTAGAATAGCTGTTCTTAAATGAAGGCTTTTCACCTTTGAGAGCATAAACTCTATAACTTTCTGCATACTTTATGTTTGAACCTCCTGAGCCATCATTGACATAAATTTTTATAGGCTTCCACCCTTTGTTCATGTTCCTGCTTCTTCCCTTAGCTCTTTTGTTCAGTAGTTCTACATCTTTATACACAGCTCCTGTCTCAGTGAATTCAACAATATTTTCATTCGTTAGCTTTACATTCAAACCCTTGTCGAGTATATTGTTCATTTCATACATATAAAAGGTTTTTATTCTATATGAAATGAGAAGCAAATCCATCTTAGCTGGTGCCGTTAATGTTCCAATTGAACCAACATCAAATGTTGACTCACGAACGACAAACAATATTGTCATAAAGAACTATAGTTCAGAATGTTTGAAAGAAAAAGAA